TCAGCTGTCCCTCCTCACCTTCAACTACTATTCCATATTTTTCTTCCTGCTTATTTCAGTTTCAGATTTTTTTTAATAATATTCACTTTATTCTACTTTGGTTTAAAACAACAGTAAAAATGCAAATAAAAGTATTGAAATAAATTGAGAAACAATTATTTTGTTGAATAAAATCAAATAAATAGTTTTAGAGTTTATTGGAATAAAAAAATAATAAGAAGATAATTAAGAGTTTTCATAATACTACAAACGTTAAATCTATAAAAGAAGCATGGACGACCTTAGAAACAACGTTGAAGGCAATGATCAAATCAAACAGGTTCAGGTCATGATCAAATCAAATAAGTATAGTTACAGATTCTGTATGACAAATTTGAAAGATTTTGTATGACAAATTTGAAAGTATGAGATGAAAGACTCACGAAAAGTTTCCGAGTACATATCGCGTGTTAAAATTGTGGTGAATGAACTTAATCGGAATCGAGAGGTGATATTTAAAAATTGGGTTGTACTAAAAATCTTATCGTTAATCAATTATTTTTTAGAACAAAGTTTGTGTCATAAAAGAGTCTCAATTTTTGTCTGAAGTGACGCTTTAGGAACTGATTGGTTTGCTTGGAGTCCATGAGTACCGGAGGAAGAAGATGAAGGAGGAGACAACTGAATAAATGCTGAAAATTGAGTCAAAAGAGGAGAAATCACTCTATTATCAGAATAATAGAGGACGAGGACGTGGTGGTTGTTCCCGAGATGGACGATCTGCTCGAGGGTTCGAGGAGAATTCGGTGATGAGATGGAAGAGGAGACTTAACAAAACTAACGAGGAAAATGACGTGGTCGGGGGGAGATCAATGAAGTCGATCTCATGTTTTGAAGCTCAAAATATTTTGAAGCTAGTCGAGAATAAGGAAGTCAATATCATATCGATCTTAAGTGTTATTTGTTACGAAGATTTAATTTTTTGGGGAAAGCTAAGATACTTAGAAAGATTGCAAGTTGGGAGATCAATAAAAAAAATATGGAAGACATGATTACGAGATATTGATATCAACGTGATCTTGATTTTACGAAAAAATTTAATTTTATAAAAAATTTTTGTTAAATAAAATTTAATTTTACATAGAAGTTTTGTTAGATTTTATTAAATAATATTAAATAATTTATTTTAGAATTTATTGAAATAAAAAGATAATAAAAAATTATTAAAATATTTTGACATAAGTAATATATTAAGTGTATATAAATACCACAAATAATCAATAATATACAATTTTAAATAAATTCTTTCTTATTCCTTCTTATGACTATTTTCTAAAAGATATTTTAAAAATTGAAATCTCAAACATTTGATTACACGATCCTACAATTTTAGGACTAATGTGTAAATTTACTCATTATTCACCTGATAAAATATGAATTGAATTATCAAGACGCAAGTAATGTTTAACTCATTCTTAAAACATAAACTTTTTACTCTTAATTTCTAACTAATATTCTTAGTTTCTGGTTATTGTAGGTAAATAATTAAAAATTTATTATTTCTATTGCAAAGTGCAAAATTGCATTTACTCTTTCTTTTTATTTTTTTTTATATTTTTAATCAGTGTCCTTGGTTTTCAAGACCCTAAAAATAATATTATGATTTATAAACTAGTAAAAAACTAAATAAAAAAAACCCGAGATTTGAAATAATAAAAGTATTTATAAAACTGAAACAAAACCATTACTTAATAGGAGTAGGTGTCGAGTAATTAATGAGTTTCTGAGTGATTATGTGTTCGTGGAAATTTCAACTTTTTTTTCTTGTTGACTATTGATGTTGAAATCACTGTATAACAACGGAAAAAGGAAATAAGTGCTCCTGTTGAAGCTTGTCTGAACGTAGCACAGCACATGCAAGGTTACAGAAAGCTTTTGCAGTTGAGATTAACATAACATGCCTGAATCCCAAGCACCACAGACACCAGACAAATTTTTTCACGTTTCCCTCATCGTTTATTCGCGATGGGAAAGGTATTTTGTCATCAACGATAATAACTTGTCTTAGTCACCCGACCAAACACAACTGTAGAGAAAGGTTTTAATAAAAATTAAACTTTTTTATCAGAACCGATCTAAGAAAAAAAATTTCACTATAAATTATATTTCACAAATATTTTTAAATTTTTTTTTGAATTAATCAAACTTCTATTTATTTTTTAATTAAGTCCAGAAGGAGTTTATCAGTTAAAAATGTGTGTTTGGTAAACGGAGAAGTATTGAAGTAGAGTGTGATATATTAATGGAGTAAGTAATGATGCACGGCCACTTAATACTAATTCGTACAGAAATAACAGAGAAGACTCGAAAGTCTCGAACAGAGCGATGGGACAAACAAAGTCCACATACACCCTATTAACTTACCAAGTTAGAGTTGTTGAATTTGAGTTGGAGGTGGTAGCAGTGGTGGCAGACATGGCTGTTTGGTCAATTATAAGGTAGCGAAAGGCTCTCATTCTTTGTTGTGAAAAATATGAAAGATGGAAATGAACTTTATGGATGAGAAGGGTTTTGTTTTGTTTGACATGTGATGTAAGTTTGGGTGCATATTGGTTGGTTAGGGAAGAACATCCGAAATGTGGTGTGGTATGAGGTGTTGTGATACAACAGCGGAAAGTGGGGAGTGATGATGATGTAGTACAGTGAAGTGGAAGACGAACAGTGTTATCTCTTATGGTGCCTTAGGCCTGCAACAATCAATAGTGTTGTGTGCATGAGTTAGGTGAACAAAAACACCTTTTCTTTTTCTCTCAAGAATTGTGTTCTATACTTTTATACATACACAGTTTATTGTATGAAAAGGAATTTCACTTAGATTATCCCTAGAATGAATTTAAACACACACTTATTTATTTGTCTTATGCTGTAACCTTCTATCATCCAAATCATCAACATGGTCAAAATACACGTGTACTGCAAACCCAAGAAGGATTATCTGTTGACTTCCAAAAATAATACCTTGATTTGTTGTGCCCTTTTGTACTTGAAGATCTACTTCATTGCTTTACATTATTGTTGCTTACCCGACTTGGACATAAAGTTACAAACTTGACTCATAGCACGCACCAAATTTAGTTTAGTAGTACATACCATAACAGCCTTCAACCATTTGCATTGACATAAGAAACCTTTGACATGTAATTCACTTTTGCATGTCCTTGGAAACTTTTCCAAAGAGTTTGATTGGGGGGATTGAAAGTAGGTCACAGGAAGTGATCAAAGCAGCATAAAAAATAAAAAATAAAAATCACTTTGTGATCTTCTTTCTGTCTCCCTCTCTTATTATTATTTTTTTCATTAATCATATAATATTGACTCCTGTTCATGCATTAACATATATAAATTTAGAATTTAAATTCAACTAAGAACGATCTTTAATCAACGTCTCATAGCGAAAAGATTGAATCAATAAAAATTCAGATTTTAATTTTTTTTTTAATATATTTGTTAGGGACCTGAAATTGTTTTAAGATCCAATCACCCCTCTTCTCGTTCCTACCATTTTTACTAACATGCAGACAATATCTCGTTTAATATTTGAATTTTTCTTATAATGTTAATTATTTTAACGTATATCTTCATGTATTAGTATTTTATTTTAATGCTTGGATAAATTCACAACTATAACACTTTTTTATATTAATAATTTTCTTTAGCAACATACATTACAAATAATTTAAGACAGAAGAAATACAATAAATAGAGTTTTGTTTATGAGTGTGGAACGAACATTAATTAATAAAACAATAAATATAATTATTAGCAAAATTACTTTTAAAGTTATGATGAGAGCATATTAATTATGCTTTTTGACGAGAAAATTCCTCTTTGTAGGCATTTTCCAGTTAAATATTTTGTTTCAGTATTTATGTTTAGTAGCTTTATCAATGCCGACTGAATGAGTCTTCGTCCAATGAACCAAACGAGTTACGTAGGGACTGTTTTTTCCAATGAAACGGGCATTGCTTTTTGAGAAAAATAGTCAACTTAAGTGGCATGTACAATTATTATGAGACTTTTAGATCCTTTTATTGAGTCAAAGTATTTAATTGTTTGGTTAATTTCAAAATCAACATACTAAATCAGTTTGGACAGTTTTGAATTTGGGTACCTTTTTGTTGTTTTATTCACCTAAGTTTTTAAGGAGTACCCCCAAACAAAAGGTCCATAGGACGACCTATAGCTAAAGGTCCTAAAGGTCATACATATTTTGGTAGGTCCAAATGAAGTGATTAAGGAGGAGCCTTGAAACTCGCTTCAAAAATCCACTTTACGCATTTTTTCAGTTTTAGTGAACTAAATAAAGAACAAGATTAGTGAACTTTTTATTTTTTTAATTGAAGTTTGGATTTTGCTTTTCGGTTTATCTTATGCATTTTCTGTCCTTTTTAAAGTTGACATTTTATCAAACACTGCCATTAACATAAAGAGAATATTGTTGTGTGGTTTGTGTAGCATTAATTTCTGTCCACTAAATATTGATCCTTGAAAGCTCTGTATTGCTAAAATAATAGTCTTTAAAAGCACCAAAAAGTTACGAAAATGAAATCACATCTACAGGGGAAGCTTTCCTACATTTGTTGTTTCGTGAGCTTCGACATCATTCCTTTGACTTGATTCCCAAAGCTAAGACAGCGAACTGCCAAACTTGGCTCTAGCACTTCTAAACACCCTCCAAACATAAACAAATATAGTGAGCTATGTTGTGTAGAATCGCTTAAAACTAGCGGAATCTGCACTTCTACTGCACTGGAATACCACTGTAAACAACAAACTTTATTGCATTTTTGAAAAATCCCATAACTCAATTTCGCACAACTGATTAGATACAGAATATCAGAAATTGCTGCAAATTGAAGCATTGATAAATAGTCAAATATTGAAACATCATAATTCCTTGGACATTGCTGATTAATTTGTCTAGTCCAGAAATTAACTTGTGTGCAACTGTGCATCATCCCTCATCTGCTGTGAATCCACCACAAGAGATTACTATAAGAGTTTCCATCATCAAAACCATTCAACATTCTTATATTCTCCAATGCCGTTTCCTTATTATAAATTCCTTGCAAGGCATAGGTCATACCCTTCCACCCTTGACTACTTAAATAGGGCAGTGTCCATTCCACAAGCTCCTTCACATAATCAGCATCAGAGAACAAGGTCTCAGTAATAGGCAACAAGGGTAGCACTTGGATTCCAAGCCTACACTCTCTACACTCAGAACCAGCCCACCATAACTTACTATCCCTCTTATTAGCCCACAAAATCCCCACTATCCTATTGCTTTTGGCAAATTCTTCTTCGTACAAGTTCTCTTCCAATTTCACATGCCACCAAGTTTGTGCAGCAAGAATTTCCAATGCCATTAACGTTGACCCAGTGGCAACAAGACTTGAGTCACCATATGCTAGACCCACCAACGCTGCTGAATAGTATGCATTCACAGCTTCACTTGTACTTTCTTGATTCCTTCCATCTTCAAATTCAGTCACTCCCGCAGCCCAAGAATGTAACATATAAAGGTCAAAACACCTTAGACGTGGATAAATTCTGGTATACCTTTGTCCCAAGTTCATAAAATCTTCCACAAGTGAATAAGCTTGTGGCTTGTATTTTTGTCCCCACTCGGGATCAATCTTTGCAAGAACCGCAATTCCATATAGAAAGTACCCCAAATGGTAATGGTGATCATTGTAAACTCCAAACCCAAAATCAGCGGTTGCATCCGTTGAACCTAGTTTGGTTACAAGTCCACTCCATTTGTTTTCATATAGAAAACCATTCCCTTGGAAAGTTCCGTCTAACCAAGGCTCAATGGCCTCTTTAAGAAAATTCTTAATCGTGGGAACCACGTTTGAAAAAGACACTTCTTCCGCTATCAATGCCAACCTTGCAGCCCTTCCAACGCGCTTCCCATAAAAATAAGATGAATCTGTTCCTATATCTGAAGAATTAAGCGCTTGCACATCCTTAACAAGCGCTGAGACAATCTCATCATATGAATCCTTTCCCACTCCTTTGTTAGAATACCATGTCACAGGAATAGAATCCGTTTCCAACACCCATGAATCTCCAACAACACCAACTAGATCACCATCAATGCTCTGATACTTAAAATCAGTCAGTACAGTAAGTTTACCGTTATTATTATTTGATAAAAGCTTAATATGAAGAGGATGAGCCAGCATGAGCAAATCCCCATACCCTTCCTTTTGCCATTGATAAACCAAACGGAACGGCTCCTCTAGTGTTGCATCACCCAAGAGAGGGTAACTAGAGCTGAATTTGTCGAGAATTGACACATAGTCAGGATTAGGCAACACTGCTACACGAATGATGCCAGAAAATGGCTTGGAGGTAACCTTGGAAGCACTATCATTGTTCAAATAGATTGGGGAGGAGGCGTATATGAGCCACGTCTGAGTGTTGTTAAGCTTAAGGGTGTACTTGGTGTTGTTGTCATCATTGGAAGACAAAGAGACTATGGTGTGCACAGTGGTGATAGAAAGAGATGTTGAAGAGGTGACAGAAGCAGTTACAAAAGGGCTTCCTCTTGAGAGAAAGAATCTAAGGTTGGAGGAGGGAATGTCCAAAGTGACACCAAGGTCACTGAATGATGAGATTACACGGTTTTGTTCACGTGAGTGTGTTTGAGTGGAAGAGATGGTGAGATCTGGCACAAAAGCTTGGTACAAAACTGCTGTGGTGAAGAGGAGAAGAGGGTACGAGACTGACAGTGAGGTGTCTGTAGTTTGGATGAGGTAAGGGTGAATGTACTCAGGTTGAGACCCGTTTGGAATAACATAGTTCTGAAAGAAAGAGTTGGTGGGAAGTGGAGAGGAAAGAAGGTTTGAGGAGAAGTAGGTTGAAGGGTCTGGGAGAACTGTGGATTGAGTTTGAGGGAAGAGAAAAGAAGAGGAAGAAGACATTGTTGTTTGTGATTTCTTCTTGCAATGTTGTGTGGTGCAGGCCAAGGCCACTTATATATAATAAGCAAACATAAGAGTTTGTTTGGCCAAGGAAAGTTGACTTTTAGAACCAAGAGAAATTCTAAGCTACAAATAAATTTGTAATCTTTCCCGGCAGCCACTATATACAGGGTTTACTGTTAAATAGTTTCACTGAAAGTAGAACAAATTGTGTTAGTATTGTTTCTTATTCTTTGAATCATTATGGAAAATGTTTAATGTCATTTATAGCCTATAATTGGAAGGAAGCAAGATGAAGAGAGAGAAAAAATCCATAAATATTACAAATGGTGCTATGCAAAATGAAGAAAAAATTAGTATAAACGAGATCAAAGAGCAACTAACATATGATAATCATAGTAAATCTGTTCTTATAATTTTTTATTTTTCGATCAATTTGAGCCAATGATAAAAATGTCTATACTGGAATGTTTATGATATAGTAAATGCATGTTGGTCCTACTAAAATAAATTATGATTTTCTTTTAATTAATAACTTTTCTTATTTTGTGCCTTGTTCTTTGTATAAATTTTTTTCTCTCTCTTATCTTTCCAATTCATTTCTCTTTCGAGGTTGGTACGTACCAAGGGGCATTTTATTTTTCTAGAATAATGCTTCTTGCATATTATATTGTATCTCACGTTTGGTTAACAACGTTATATTTCTTTTTAGATTTTCTTTTTATCTCATTAAATCACAAGGTACCCTTATTTTCTTCCCATTATTTCTTATGTATACACTCTAAAAAAAGTTAATTAATAATTTCGACACGTAATAATAAAGGAACACTCTTCTTCTAATATTATATACTTTTTTTAATCTACTCTTACTTGCTCTTAAAAGATATATACAAATAACATTTTTTTTATGTTATATGTTTAAGAAAAATATTTAAGCATTAAATTTATTTTGTTTTTCTAGGATAAGCATTATCACACTTCTTCACAAGATAACATATTGGTGATCAACTTTACAAAATTCAAATTTTGTAAAGAGTTTAATGAGTCAGTAATTAGTGACTTAATAATTCCAACACAAATCGAGACCATAAATCTATTATCATTTTCGAATTTAAGTTCAAACCGAATTCAATCCATCAATTTATAAAATAAGTTTTATATTGAGTTTTGTCATATACTAATGCAAGATGGATATAGAGTGTTCAATTTGAAAGACTAAACATATGTAAATGACGTGAAAATTATCTTTCACTTATAGACACTGAGTTGGTCTTACTGTTAATTTATATGAGACCTTTAACGTAGCTCATGTGAAAAAAACTTGAAATCTCAACTGTTAAATACTTCACAAATCATTATTATAATAAAGTTAACATGGAGTTGAGTTTGACTCATTCTCAAATTTTTAAAAATATTAAAATTTATCTAAATATGTTATTCCACCAACTCTATTATTCACACACCAAACCAAAGAATATTATAATACATAAGGAATGTATTGAAAAAGAATTTCATTTTTTTATATGGATTAGAGATAACATAAAAAAATTGTATATAACTATTTCTATATAGTCCAATTTTTAATAAGGTTGAATCGAATTCATACTCTAAGAAATTGTAACGCATACGTATAAAAAAATAATATTCACTATATATATAAATAAATAGATCATATATTAATTAAAATTTAAAATATTACTTTAGGAGAGAGTATACTCTCAAGAGAATATGTTAGCGAGGTAGTATTACTTTTCATTATTAAATTTGGATTTGTTTGGATGTTGGTTGAGTTGGAGGATATGGAAGATTGATTATATTTTGATTGCACAAGTTTCTTAAGTTTAGGAGGCAGCATGTGTCCATCTCCTTCCATTGTTTATTGATGTCTTTTTTGTTTTTTTAAATGCCTTCTTTAATGTTTCCATATTTCATATTTTAACAACTTTTCTTAATCATTGCACCATCAATTCTCATCAAACTCTACTTTACTAAAATATAACACATGACATGACAACACATGTTATTGTGTTAGTTTTAAATTATTAATTATATAATCGAATTTAATTTATATTATATCTAACTTGTTCAGAATATTTTGATAAATAATTATTTTCAAATGGTTAACTTTAGATATTTTATTGTTTTGATCATGTGTGTTGCCATGTGCTTCTTATTTAGTCAAAGAAATATAGTTTCCATATTATACACATTTTACTTATAAGTTGTTTATTTTTCTTAAAAAATATAAAATAGATTTATGGTGTTATGTTAAAAAATTATTTTACTTCTTCATATATATTAAAAAAAAAAAACCTGTTCTCTCTATAGGATTTTTTAATAAAAAATATTTTAAATAACTAGTGTTTTAATTAAATATTTTAATCTTCTTTCTGAAAAATTAATTTTTAAGATTGAGTTAAGTCCAATTAATTTTTAATATGATTAAGAAACCAATTCACTTTTTAATTATCTGATTCAATATAACACTGTTGGTCCGCGTATTTTGTATGAAAAGCTGGTTGAAGGAAGGTCTTACACAATGTTAGGGTTATAATAACTGTCAAATTAAAAACTATTTTATTTATAAAATTAATTTACCTGAAAAAAAATATTGTATGAACTTATATAATATATATAAGTCCATTGGGGAGATGTTTGGGTGATTGATCCATATTTTAAGTTCAAATTTATTCTCACTTCTTTATACTAAAAAATTTGACAACATAATACTACTACTATTTTGTACAATAATCTGAAATATTTTTAAATATTTTAATTAAGTTAAGTAATTATATTTACAAGGTCACTTGTCTGGATCTCAAAATAATTAAGTTTTATACTGTACTTCTAAATAATATTATTTTTCATAATTATTATAAAAAAAATTTATATTTTCTATTTCTGAAATAAATAAATAAAGTATAAGAAATCATATTCAAATTAATTAAAACATGAATAATAAGTAATATAAATATATAGAAATTTATCGTGGAACGATGTCAATGATAAAGTGGTTATGTACTCGAATATTAATCTCCTATAAAGATAAATATTATAAAAATTGTTTCTTTTTTTCATTTTATACATAGTTATACATAATTTTGAAGCAAATTCATAAATACGAATTATTAATTTACAAATTTTTACACCCAAAAATGTGTCATTTTTATGTGGGAAAATTATGTCGAAATTTTATGAATTTTGTAGTTAATAACGCTTAAGTTCAGGATGAAATATTTAAATAAATTTTATAAATAAAATATATTATTTTAATATAATTTTATACATAAAAGTATTAAAATAGTGTAATTTAAAATCAAAATTATCAATTTTGGATAATTTTTTAAAAAATTACATAGATAAGTTATGTTTCATAACACCATTAAAAAAAAAGTTTTATTATCAAATATGATTGTCAATTTTTTTTGGCTTTTATTAATTAAAAAAAATAAAAACTAAAATTATGCTTCATAACATTTCTTTCTTATAAAGTCGTGTTTATCATTTACATAATTTTAAAAAAATATATCCAAAATTAATAATTTAAATTTAAAATTACACCATTTTAATATTTTTGCCTAATTTTATATTACAGAATTGCAAAGTTTATAAACAACTCTCATTTATTTTAAACAATTATATATATATATATATATAGGATTTATATTAAAATAATATAAAATTTATTTTTTAATATTTCTTTTACATATTTTTTAAATGAAACCAAATCTTTTGACAACTCTTTTTAATGGTTGAGTTGAGACACTGTCCATTCATTTAATTTGCAGTGAAAAGATCCAAAGTTCTGAATGGATGTTGTATTTGGAGACACAATTGATGGAGAATCTTGAAACCATCGTTGCATCATTATATACCATTATCATAGCATAACTAGGCTTAGAAGATCAAACAAAAATTATTTATTGGTACAATCAAAAGCCTTTTGTTTCTCTTTTCCGGAACCAAGAACAACTGCATATTTTTAACTTTATTCAATTTGATGATTGAAAATGTTATACACATATATACACAATCTCCTTTTTTCATGTTGTGGATGGAATCGTTGTCCTAGACCATATTGTAAATCTTACATAAGTTAAAAACACTAGAAAATAACAAGAGTTGAACTTCACTGTAATAAAGAGCAAAGTCTATTCAATATTTTATTTTCCAGAACAAATTCAAATCCATAATAACATATTAACAATAACTGATGATAGGATTCAAGGTTCCACATATTCCTGCAAACTAAATATTAAATTGAAACATCATATTTGTTCAACACTTATGTGCATCCATCGCTCCTTATCTGCTGTGAATCCACCACAAGAAATTACTGCGTTTTCCATCATCAAAAGCTTTCAACATTCTTATATTCTGCAATGTTGTTTGCTTATCATAAATTCCTTCCACCCTTGATTATTTAAAGAGGGAAGTGTCCAATCCACATGCTCCTTCACATAATCAGCAACAGAGAACAATGTCTGAGTGATAGGCAACAAAGGCAGCACTTGGATCCAACCAAGCCTGCACTCTCTACATGCAGCAGGGGTCCACCATAGTCCACTAGCCCTCTCGTTAGCCCACAGAACACCGACTATCCTGCTGTCTTCTGCAAAATCTTCTTTTTAAGAAAGGTGTCTTTTGATTGAAAATTACTAATTATGAGTATCATCTTGACGATCAAATATAAATATTATTTCATATTTATAAATATATTCATAAATATATTATAAATTGAATGCGAAAATATACTTGAATTAGTCATAATAATAATGATGTCCCTTTTAGAATATTATTGATCTTATAGTTTTTCACTGAAGAGTATCTTTATTTTTTTACTTGAATTTTCTCTCTTGACGGGATAGAAAGAAAGGAACGAGAACTGATACTTACTTTATGTGTGTGCTCTTAGAAGGGGACCATGACCCTTTAAATAATCAGAATTAAGTTAATTACTTAAGTTGTAGTATTTCTAATTTGGTCCCTCGTCATATTAG